TTTTAATTTGACACCTGATGACGTTATCATGAAGTCAGAGTAATATGCACCACTTCGGCTGAGGGTCGATATATATTGAAAGTTACAAGTTCATACCATTTGCCGTTTAGGAGAAAAACCCGCTGAGAAGTATTGTCCGGAAAAAAAAGAACCTTTTCAGACATAAAAACATTCTGCAGATCGGTAGATTTTACACATTTTAGCTGAAACTTTATGATTTTCCAAACATATGTCAATATGTGTTCAATGTTTTCAATGAAAGATTAGTTCTGATCCTCACTTGACCGTTTTCAATTATCCTCTACAAAATCAACGGACTCGAGCAGTAAATTTTCAACATGCGACCATGATTGCACGAGCTTGGCGATGGGAAACTGTACCGCGCCAAATTCTACAAAGCACGCTAAAACATGTGCACGCCACGTGAACAACTATTGAATATGTACACGCATATTCAACACGTGAGCCTCTAGCTGTTGAAGGCTGAAAGAAATATTACAGCTGTACGGGCACGTACAAATGGAAAAAAAACTGGAGTCTTGAAAGAGACTAGTCACAAAGATGCCCATGCGTAGTCTGCGTTTTATATATTACCCGCACTTGATTTCTGCATACTGTGATTTCTACGGTGGCTCGTATTCGCCAATTTGTTGCGCATGTCCTTTTTTCTTATGGCGTTATATCGCCGTACTATGGCGTTATATCGCCGTACTATGGCGATATATGCCGTATTTTATTGCGTTATAACGCCGTATTTTATTACGTTATATCGCAGTATTTTATTGCGTTATATCGCCGTACTATTGCGTTATATCGCCGTACTATGGCATTATATCGCCGTACTATGGCGTTATATCGCCGTACTATGGCGTTATATCGCCGTATTCTTAACGCCGAAAATCAACAGTGACGTCGCCATTTTGTAATGCTACACTGCGAAAGCCCATTAGCGCCACTGCAAGTATATATGTTACAGATTATTTAATTAGCTAATACGAATTGATTTTTTTTAAGAGGGGGGGGGGCAAAGCATATTTCTCAACCGTTTATTTTCTATTTATTTTTTTAGAGGGGACAGGGTCATCCCCCAAACCCATTAAATTTAAAGCAATATTAATCGCGCTATTCTTTCCTTTTTTCTCTCTTTTTTTTTTCCTTTCGGGTCTGAATTTATAATCATAAGAGTAGAATAATAATAGTTGCAATATCCATCCTTTGCACTTCACGAAAAGCTGGCGTTTTGAAGAATATAAATGATAAATAGTGATAAGTTTGTATACTTATACTTAGTTTGAATGGAAACCCAAATATTCTGTAGTACATGTGTGAAGTTTCAATTCAACCTGTTAAAATGATTTTGTTGTCATGGTCATTAAAAAGTCGGCACTCTCGATCTCGTGCGCACTCTCATGTTTAAACATGGTCAATGTGATGGGAAAAGATAACATTTAAGCCGACCTCACGACCTGTTTTGGTAAATGGACATTTTGCGAAGAGAGTATGCCCTATTTACATAACGTGGTGTCAAAATAACCTCAGGACATCCGAACAACTGTTAGAGAAACTTGGCGGGATTTAAAAAGTGCAATGCGACGATATAAGGAAAAAATGAACGTGGATGGGGTTGCGCTCCAGCCCCCTCCGTACTTCGCGCCGACCCTAAGTTAATTATTCTGACCTCAAATCACTCTTTATTCATAATTTCATATTTCACAAGTGCCAAGGCACCAATACAAGCTTTTTTAATTTTTTTCCTCTACCGTTGTGTCGCAAGGGTATGAGCAAAAAAGAAAAGGTGAGGGTAAAGGCCATGCCACCTGAGCTTTTTGCGCCGCTTTTAAGTTAATTAGTCTGATCTAATCACTCTTAATTTTTTTTCCACAATCTACAAGTTCCAAGCTAACGCTAGTTGGTTTGATCTTGTTAAAATTTGCTGCATGCCGCCAATGGTCCTTCGTCTGATTTAGCGAAATTAAGACCGGCCATTCTGTGATCAGGGTCGGTGATACTATGCTTTGAGACAATCTGGGGATTTGTTCCCGAAATGTTGCATTTTGATTAAACCCTATCCAGCTCTCAGTGCATTTTGATCACGTGCTCTCCGCATGTGAGTACCAGATTTATTTCGTAATAACGAATTAAATAATCCGTAATAACGCATTAAATAATCTGTAATAACGAATTTAATAATCCGTTATAACGAATTAATAATCCGTAATAACGAATTAAATAATCCGTAATAACGAATTAAATAATCGGTAATAACGAATAAACTATTCGTAATAACGAATTAAATAATCCGTAATAACGAATTAATAATCCGTTATAATGAATTAAATAGTCCGTAACATATACACTTCCAGTGGCGCTAATGGGCTTTCGTAGGCTTTCGTAGTAACCAAATGGTATAACGGAGAAAAACGGCGTTATAACGCAATTAAATACGGCGATATAACGCAAAACTACGGCGATAACGCCATAGTACGGCGATATAACGCAGTAGTAAAGCGATATATCGCCATAGTACGGCGATATAACGCAATGAAATACGGCGATATAACGCAATAAAATACGGCGTTATAACGCAATAAAATACGGCGTTATAACGCAATAGTACGGCGTTATAACGCAATACTACGGCTTTATAACGCAATAGTATGGCGATATAACGCCATAAGTAAAAAGGACTTAAGATTTGAGGCTTTGCATGGTGGGGTATCGGTATCGTTTCGGGTTTTGCGGTAACACCATGTGGTAATAACTACTGCTTAGAAGATATTAGTTCTGAGAAGAACTTGTCCTGCTTATTATCAACTTGCTAAGTAGTTTTTTTTTGTTCTGTTTAGAACAGTCCTGCTGTAAGTTCTAAAAGAACTTGTCTTTGGTCTCAACGTTTCGACTAGCCTGCTCTAGTCATCGTCAGGAGACGATGACTAGAAGGACTTCGCAACAAATTGGCGAATATGAGCCACCGTAGATTTCAGTTTTGGTCGTTGTGAATGGACAAAGATACTACAGAGGGGAAGATAGGACAGCAGGTATCTAATTGCAATTGGTCTGGATTTTCTTTAATGAAGAAATAAATTAAAGACGAGTACATCGAGGAATGAATTTAGAAGAAAAAACATTCAGATTGTTCCCTTTTTTTGGAGGGGGGGGGGTGTCGGGGGAGGTGAGGGATCGGGTAAGCAGTTAATATTTACTTTTACAAAGTAAATAAATGTATTACTAATTTAATTGATTAATTTAAGTAGTTAATTTGGCTAATTAATTCGACTTAATTTTTAAATATGTTGCTCTCTTTGAAAAAAAACCCTGTTGAACCATGAAAAAAAAAATGTGATACAAAGTGCATAAATTGATCGCATTAAAACCCCTGTTTCTGAACCTGTTCACAAGCTCATTAGCATAATACTGTTAAATATTTGTGAAAAGGCACTCGTAGGCATTTTCTCATAAAGGGTAGGGGTAGTGTTATTAAACGCAGAAAATGTGGCTTTAAAATATTACATATCTGCATGAGTGTACCCGGAAAAAAAATAGTTTAGCGGCTTTGCATTACTAAGTTTTCACGTCGAGTTCATTGGCAAAATCTAGTTTATACCTCCCTTCAGTTGGCGGCGGCCAGCTAGTACTTCCTGTTTTTTACCTTTTTAAGTGGACTGTCGTATCTTCCCTCTTTGGTATCTTTGAAATGTATTGTGGCATTTCAATTTCCCGAAAGCTATTCTTTTTTCGGAAACGACAGGCACGGATTGTATGTTGAGCGCCCTTCACAATAATACACATAACGCATAATGCACTGCATTCCTTCTGTCGGTCGATACGCGGTGCATGGCGTTATCAAGATAGTGGGGTTCGGCCCTAGTCACTTGACCGGCATCGTTCTTGTCCATGCAAATGTAAATTTTGTTTGAAATAAAACCGATTATAAATGTAGAGAATTTCATTGAATCCTTTGTATTTCCGCGTTCTCTATTGCAATAAATGTCAAAGCCAAGTCAATTGGGTCGTATGTATAAAAACTAGCAAATGCTAGGAAGTTTAAGTAAAAAGTAAAAGCCTTTACTTTGCAATATAAGCATTAATGCTTGAAAGCAAATGCTTGATTCGGTATGAATAAAACTTTTCCTTTACTGTTCAGCATTTACTTGACAACGGGTAGCAAATGCTTCTCACTGTTGGATTGATCGAAAAATATCAAAAAAAAATTGTTTCTCATTACAAAAAAGTAGGGGAAGATTCAAAAGCCCATCCCCCTGTTCAAAAAGTATGTATGGGTGTGTGTGTGTGTGGGGGGGGGGGGGGGATACATACCCAAACCCACCAGGGATTTACGCACTTGGAAACGAGGACTTTATCATAGCACTAAACCATCGTCAGGAAAAGCGGGTTGTTGGAGTGCTCCAAAGTGACCGAAATTTAGTTAGGTGTCGGGCCTCAGCATATCTGTGATGGGAATTACTTTTCTCATCTATTGGGTCATTCTCAAATAGGAAGCAGGTCAAAACGCATTAATGAACATTTTGGAAAGAACGGCTTTCAACGGAAACAATGAAAAGGCATTTTCTCAGTTTGCAAAAACAATATGATTTGAGCTGATTTTTCGACAGCTACGATTTTTTTAATAAAAAAACCCTGCTCCAAACCTTTTGTTTTGTTGATCATTTGATTTTGCAAAAATACAATGTTTTTTTTCGGACAAAAAGTGTCCATTATCTTTCTACATAGATATATATTTACTATAGCTTACAAACAGCGCCCCTATAGAGTCAGATAGGGTAAACACACGGGAATTTCCAGTTGAAATTGTGAGTGTACACATAAATAAACTCAGGTCAATCGCAGATTGCACTGAAATGGATATTTGTAGAATGCTACTTATAATACAAAATCGGTTACAACACTTTGAAAGATTTGAATATTGTACTGATAAACATATTTATCTCTTCCAAAAGAAATATCAGTGGTCATCATCGCATCGCCCGGCAGGGACAAAGATGGACACCAAAGACCAACGCAGCCGATCAGCGCAGGGTAACGCACCCAACAGTAAGATTCACGGTGACGGTAGCCCGACCCCCGAAGAAAACAATTACATTAGGAAAAACCAAGATCAGACGGAACCTTTCGACGAGGTTGAAAACACTGAAAGACGACACCCACATGCCGTACGGCTTTTCAGGGGCTTTTTTCGGTGGTTGTGTTTCTGTAACCACACCCCGAAAGCCGACACCAGCAAAGAGCTTTATTTAACGAATTCAATCCTTTGGAGCTTCCATGATTCCTTCCATTCAGTGCCCCATGGAACAGACCTGGCTCAAACCTCATCACCCCAACCCTCAACTGACCCTGTGTTCTCTGATGAAGAGTCCAGTCCTGATCAGTCTGCAGCCATGGACGAACTCAAAAATGTCACCCTCGATAAACAGGATTTGCTAGACTTATTTGACTCTATGTGTCAGGAAGCAAAAGGAATGGGCCATGATGTAGTTGGGCGCGTTGTTCAGGTTCTCAACTTTGCTGCCGCTGTGTTGGATAGTCGAGGTGGTATTCTGTCTGTTGACGCTTTGGGTGTTCATCTGTACATTCCACCTGGTGCCATACCAGCTGAGGAATCTCCCCAGATAGTCTACATGTACGTTCAAGGCCGCAACCACCTCACTCCGTATGTCCAGTGCGGGCCTTCAAAATTCGAATTCAGGAAGGATGTCATCTTGATCTTACCCCACTGCGCAAAAGACGCAGTAGATACCAAGTTCAACTGTGTGAAGTCTTCTTCCAGTGGAAACCAGACGATTGAAGGAGGCAAGGATGGAAATGTGATCGTCAAAAGTAAATCCATCTTGATGACCATGCGCCACTTCTGTGGACTTACAGCTTATGGAAACCCCAAGGCTAAATACATGGTAGCACGTGTATTCATCAAAGACATCAACGATACAAACGTCATGGTTCGTGTTCGACTATTTGATGACACCAAGGCCAATCTTCAGGTAAGAACAAAGGTTTACTACAGGTATATTTTGGTATCAAAGCATCGAGCTTCATGCGTTTTATAACCAGCGGCTTCAATGAATCCCAAATTTTGACAATAATAAACCATAAGGGGTTAGAATTAAAGGCCTCCTCTTCCAAAACGAAGAGAATTTAAATCTTTGCATAATCACATGGCGGTCTTCCGTTACTGGCATCGTACCGTGAATTTGTTTTCGAGACATACCTTGACACAATCCTATTTTATTCAATAAAAAAAACGTTAAATAAAGTTGTCAAGAATACGTGTACCCAAAGAAGTATTGAATTTAAAAATATTGAGGAGCAATGCTTTTACTTCCTGGACTAATTTCTTGGACAAAGGTGGATGTAGTTTCTAATCATATGACTGAACACAGTCATGAATACTCCTGACTAACGTGGTGAAGCATTTCCAGTCATCATAATAAACCAAAAAGCATTTTTATTAATGTTCACAGATAACAATCAACTGTAACATACCTCAATCCGAGATACGTTTACACAACCGCGTTATTATGATTTTTATCGAAATTTGTGTTTTACAGGAAATTCAGACAGCGGAGACGAGAAATGGCTTCGTCCAGGTCGATATGCCCGGAACATTGGAAGTGAAGCGCACCGACCCGGAGAAGGACGTTAGGATAAACCTGATGTGCTCAGATACAGATTGTTGGGTAATCACCGAACCGCAAAGTGGTTGGCAGGTGAGAAAGTGAGCGGGATGATTTGTTCGTTCTTATGGTCAGTCAGTCCAATTTGTCAGTTGGTCCAATGGTCTTGCGGTTGAGCTTGGTTGGTTGATTTCGTTTGTCTGTTCCTTCGGTCAGATGGTCATTGATGAACCATTTGTATCGTAAAAAGCCCATAAAGCATCAATTGTATATTCTTTTCTAATATTAGACGATACAACACTCGATCTTGTGGCGGGAGTGTGGTCCAGATAACGTGCCGTCGTTTCCGTCGAAAATATTCAAGGCTAGCATGCGAAGATCCACAGAGAGGGCGCCCTTTGATGGTTATCTAAAAGTCTTTCAAGAGGGTCGAGAGGAGCAAAGTGTTGATTTCGCGCTGACTTATTCACTCAATGTTGCCAAGGCAACCAGTCCCAGACAAGTAAGTATATTCTTTTTCCTCAGGCAACAAACTGCCGAGTTTGAAATATTATGTCATTGCCCTATATTTATTTTCCTGACAGCATAATTCAAGGAATAACTCAAATAGTGTTTAAAAACCACTCCAGCTCAACGTATTTAGTCTATATAGCTATTTATACACTTATTGACTCCACTCTATCTGTGATAGTTGATTGAATATTGAATCTGTGTTCAATATTTTAGTGTAAACCGCATAATCATAACCGTTCAAAAAGAGTGGAAGAGATCCGAATCATGTGATTCCTTTACGAAGGAAAGCATTAGAGATGAAGAGCATATTCTTTTATTTTTTTAGACTCGACGTGTATTAACTTCTGCCAAATATGGATCTACTTTGCTAATTTTAAATGGACATTCCAACAAGCAAAAAAGACGACAATTAATGCGGACGTATATTGAAAATAAAGGTTATGCACGCTAATATGGTCATTCTTTTGATCTTAGATCACTGAGGAGCAAGTCAAGGAAATCTGTCGTCAGCAGATAAGGGAACAGTTGCGAGGTCCCGTCGCCGAGAGCAGACTGCTGGATGAAGAAACAATAAGGAAGCTCTGTTCGCGCCTGGATGAGCCTAGTCCTATTGGTCGTGACTGGCGCATCCTTCCGGAGAATCTGACGGGATTGAAAGGCCACGGGCACGGCTGGGTGGAGAGCATCAAGACAAGAGCAGCCAGCGGGTTCCTAACTCCGCAAAGCCCCACCGAGCTCGTCCTCGATGCGTTCTTTGCTACGTCAAGGGAAAGCGATATGGGTAACAGGCGCACTTTGCAGGAGCTGAAGCGTGGTCTTCACAGTCTGAACCGACCAGATGTGCGGTTTGCCATCAAGGTCATCGATGACCAGATATGCCCCGACCCCCAAGAAACAAACATTAATGTTAAAACTACATATACACTGAAGTTCGAGAAGGACGGAGAAGTACCCGAAATAAAATCCGAACAAGACCAACCGCAGATGTATAGGTCACAAAGTTTGGAGCAGCCACCACAGAGGAATTTCACTGCGATGAATGGCACACGGGAGGATCTCGGTAGGGATAGAGCAAGTTCTACGAGTGATCTACTCTCTTCGTCAATTTCAGCATCAGACCCTGAAGGTCAGATAAACAAACTCGATAGCAAGCAAAGAACAGATAGTGCCTATGAAAGCTACAATGGGCTTGACACTGACGACCGTTAAATTCAATGAGGCCAGATAGGGTTCGTTAATGAAGGCTGTTAAATGTAGTAACCAGCTGATAACGTATCACCGACCTATAATGTCACAAAAGTTGACCGATATTGTATCACTAACCGAAAATGTAACCAAATTCGGGCTCTCCAATTGGAGGAAGGAATCTCCATGGGCTCTCAAAGGGATTTAAACAATGAAAACTCACGTTTGCCTACCGTAAAAAAGAAAATCCAAACAGAGGGTGGGCACAAGTCTGAGTATCACCCATTGTCCAACGGGACCATCTCTGTCTCCGGTTGTGCACGGGGATGAGACAAACCGTGACCGACACCACGAAGTCCACTGCAGTGTTACTTCGTGAAAACCGCTTAATGACACATTTTGGTTTCAGGAAGTAACACTCAAGTGTGCGTGCGCACATCGGACCTTGGCGCGAACGATTTTCGTTTTCACAAATTTTCAACGCTGTTACGGAAATACTATTGGGATAAAAACGTTTTTGAACGTTTGACTGGAATGAAATTAATCAATATTTTTGTAGGATTACAGAAAATTTAAATTAAAAAAATCAATCTGGTGAAATAAAGATGAGTGCATGTTACTTCGTGAAAACAAAAATGGGTGCGTCAGCGTGTGTGTACATGAGTGTTTAAATACTTCGTGAAATTGAAAATCACTCGGTTCTGTAAAATACGCGCGTAGCGTGCATTCAAGTTCACATGGGTGTTACTTCGTGGTGTCGCTGACGAGACATCGAGCCGGGGGGCGGCATACCGAATGGCCCCTTAACCGATGTTATGAAAGATGTCAATTGTTATGTAATGTGTGCTGAAGGCATGCTCACTTCTTTAAACAAACCATTTTTTTGATATATTCTATCTTTCAAGTGTTTGTTGTGTATTAAAACATTCTGATTTTTTTTTAGACCACAGGTTTGGGACTTTCAATTGTAAGACTTGATTATCTGTAAATTTTGAATTTGTTAAAAACTCCAATATTATTGTAACATACGGAGTTAAAAGATTTTAATCTAAGATGCAATTTGTTTTGAATTTGCCTAGTGACACATGTCAGTGTATATATTCATAAGAAATATGAGCCTGCCTATTGGGACATAACACTTGATTGTAAAAGGCGGTGTGTCGGCAAGTTGGATGTGTAAAAGGATGTAGCCTTTAAGTGACATTTTATGTAAATCTTGTAGAAAGTGTAATAGACTAAGTGGTGATTTAGATGGTTTAGTTATGAAAAATGCGTGCCGACTTCAGTGTTGTTATTGGTTTAAAACAGTTGTTTTGACCGAAAAATGCAAGCCATAAAGCGATAATCAGATCTACTCATCAAATGCAGTTGTATACTGGGAATAGTTCAGTTATCAGCTATGCAAGCGAGTCTTCCTATTTCAAGTCTGAAAAGTCATTAAGCTAAAGTTAAGACCATGGGCTTGATAAAACTAAATACCTGCTATTTCACGTCTTAAATGCTGCACTGTTTCTTGATCTTCAGAGCAGTCGGGTTTCAAGTTTAAAAAAAAAGTATATACGACGTCGATTTTACTTCAAAAATATGCCTGCATTTCATGTTTGTTAGGAAAACGCTTTAATTAATCAAAAGGCTATATATATAGCGATTATTCAATATATGTATTTCTGACACAAATGTACCACTTTGCTTTATTGTCTTATGGTAGAATATAACCAAGCATTTGTTGGCTGATGTAATGTGGGACGTATTTTTACCTCCTGAATAATCATGACGTTTCACACAACAAGCTTTTCTCCTTGGTTGTTCAAAACTCCATGTCCCACATCACATCGGACAGTCACTAGATATTAACGTATCAATTTAGTAGTACAAATTGATTACTTAGTTTTTATGTTAGTGTATATAATCATGAGAAATATTAACCTGCCTATTAGGACATAACGCTTGATTTTAAAAGGCGATGTGTTGGCAAGTTGGACAATGATGTGTAAAAGGCTGTTGGCTGTAAGTGACATTTTATGTAAATTTTGTAAAAAGTGTAACAGTAGCTGGTGATTTAGACGGTGTAGTTATTATTTTTTTTAAATGCGTGCTGACTTCAGTGTTGTTATTGGTTTAAAACAGTTGTTTTGACCTACAATGCAAGCTATAAAGCGATACTCAGATCTACTCATCAAATGCAGTTGTATACTAGGAATAGTTGAGTAATCAGCTATGCAAGCGATATCATGTCTTAAAAGCTACACTGTTTCTTGATCTACAGAGCAGTCGGGTTAAATAGGTAGTGTGTTGGCAAGTTGGACGATGATGTGAAAAAGGCTGTTGGCTGTTAGTGACATTTTATGTAAATCTTGTAAAAAGTGTAACAGTAGCTGGTGATTTAGATGGTGTTGTTATTTTTAAAAATTCGGGCCGACTTTTGGGTTGTTATTGGTTTAAAACAGTTGTTTTGACCTAAAATGCAAGCCATGAAGCGATAATCAGATCTACTCATCAAATGCAGGTGTACACTCTGGGAATTTTCGAGTAATCAGCTATGCAAGCGAGTCTTCCGATTTCAGGTCTGAAAAGTATTCAAGCTAAAGTTAAGACCATGGGCTTGATAAAACTAAATACCTGCTATTTCACGTCTTAAATGCTGCACTGTTTCTTGATCTTCAGAGTCGGGTTTCAAGTTTAAAAAAAAGTATATACGGCGTCGATTTTACTTCAAAAATATGCCTGCATTTCATGTTTGTTAGGAAAACGCTTTAATTAATCAAAAGGCTATATATATGGCGATTATTCAGTATATGTATTTCTGACAGAAATGTACCATTTTGCTTTATTGACTTATGGTAGAATATAACCAAGCATTTGTTGGCTGATGTAATGTGGGACGTATTTTTAGCTCCTGAATAATCATGACGTTTCACACAACCAGCTTTTCTCCTTGGTTGTTCAAAACTCCATGTCCCACATCACATCGGACAGTCACTAGATATTAACGTATCAATTTAGTAGTACAAATTGATTACTTAGTTTTTATGTTAGTGTATATAATCATGAGAAATATTAACCTGCCTATTAGGACATAACGCTTGATTTTAATAGGCGATGTGTTGGCAAGTTGGACAATAATGTGTAAAAGGCTGTTGGCTGTAAGTGACATTTTATGTACATTTTGTAAAAAGTGTAACAGTAGCTGGTGATTTAGATGGTGTTGTTATTTTTAAAAATTCGGGCCGACTTTAGGGTTGTTATTGGTTTAAAACAGTTGTTTCGACCTAAAATGCAAGCCATAAAGCGATAATCAGATCTACTCATCAAATGCAGGTGTACACTCTGGGAATTTTCGAGTAATCAGCTATGCAAGCGAGTCTTCCGATTTCAGGTCTGAAAAGTATTCAAGCTAAAGTTAAGACCATGGGCTTGATAAAACTAAATACCTGCTATTTCACGTCTTAAATGCTGCACTGTTTCTTGATCTTCAGAGTCGGGTATCAAGTTTTAAAAAAAGTATATACGGCGTCGATTTTACTTCAAAAATATGCCTGCATTTCATGTTTGTTAGGAAAACGCTTTAATTAATCAAAAGGCTATATATATGGCGATTATTCAGTATATGTATTTCTGACAGAAATGTACCATTTTGCTTTATTGACTTATGGTAGAATATAACCAAGCATTTGTTGGCTGATGTAATGTGGGACGTATTTTTACCTCCTAAATAATCATGACGTTTCACACAACCAGCTTTTCTCCTTGGTTGTTCAAAACTCCATGTCCCACATTACATCGGACAGTCACTAGATATTAACGTATCAATTTAGTAGTACAAATTGATTACTTAGTTTTTATGTTAGTGTATATAATCATGAGAAATATTAACCTGCCTATTAGGACATAACGCTTGATTTTAATAGGCGATGTGTTGGCAAGTTGGACAATGATGTGTAAAAGGCTGTTGGCTGTAAGTGACATTTTATGTAAATCTTGTAAAAAGTGTAACAGTAGCTGGTGATTTAGATGGTGTTGTTATTTTTAAAAATTCGGGCCGACTTTAGGGTTGTTATTGGTTTAAAACAGTTGTTTTGACCTAAAATGCAAGCCATAAAGCGATAATCAGATCTACTCATCAAATGCAGTTGTATACTGGGAATAGTTGAGTAATCAGCTATGCAAGCGAGTCTTCCAATTTCAAGTCTGGAAAGTAATTAAGCTAAAGTTAAGACCATGGGCTTGATAACACTAAATACCTGCTATATCATGTCTGAAATGCTGCACTAGTTCTTGATCTACAGAGCAGTCGGGTTTCAAGTAAACAAAAGGGATATACAACGTTGATTTTACTTCAAAAATGTTACTTCAAAAATATGCCTGCATTTCATGTTTGTTAGGAAAACTCATTAATTAATCAAAAGGCTATATGGCGATTATTCAGTATATGTATTTCTGACAATATGTACCATTTTGCTTTATTGACTTATGGTAGAATATAACCAAGCATTTGTTGGCTGATGTAATGTGGGACGTATTTTTACCTCCTAAATAATCATGACGTTTCACACAACCAGCTTTTCTCATTGGTTGTTCAAAACTCCATGTCCCACATTACATCGGACAGTCACTAGATATAAACGTATCAATTTAGTAGTACAAATTGATGACTCAGTTTTTATGTTTTCATGTAAGTGTATAAAATCATGAGAAATATTAACCTGCCTATTGAGACATAACACTTGATTTTAATAGGCGGTGTGTTGGCAAGTTGGACGATGATGTGTAAAAGGCTGTTGGCTGTAAGTGACATTTTATGTAAATCTTATGTGATTAAGATGGTGAGTTATTTTTTAAAAATGCGAGCCGACTTTAGGGTTGTTATTGGTTTAAAACAGTTGTTTTGACCTAAAATGCAAGCTATAAAGCGATAATCAGATCTACTCATCAAATGCGGTTGTACACTGGGAATAGTTGAGTAATTAGCTGTGCAAGCAAGTCTTTCGATTTCAGGTCTGAAAACTAATTAGGCAAAATTTACG